TGCCATGTGGGTGACATCCCTGGCCAGGCTTTGAGCTCATGCTGCGGTGGCTGTGGACAGCTTCTTAGTGCTGTGCTTTAACCCAGTGCGCTAACTGGGAGGGTCCCGTTGATGTTTGCTTCTGAGTAAACAGCACTCATGTTGACCCTAGACTTACTTTTGCTGCATTTGGGATTATGTTTGCAGTGTTACATTTAGATGTTTAATTCCTGGCTAGAGACCCAGTTCATGGTGTCATGGTGTGTGTGTGTGTGTGTGTGTATAAATTGGAAACTGACAGCCTGACATGACTTCTTATAGTCCTGAAGTGTTTCTTGTTCCAGCTGGAGAGACCCTAGTGAAGGTGGCTCTCTATCCTCATGGTGTGGCCATTTCTCCTGCTGGCATCACACCTTTATCAAGTGTTCCCTGCTATGTCCATGTGGAAGGAATGAGTAAAAGACACTTTATAGGCATGTAGTCGGCAGGACACTCAATCCCTGGAAACTGTGACTGTCCCCCAGTAGTGAGGGACTGGTCACAACAGCAATTACAAGTGTAGAGTTCTGGCTTTTGACAATGGAGTTGTGGGCGCATGTTAGTGACTTTTAAAAGGTTGCAAGGGCTTATTAATAACCGAGACAAGTAATTGATAAAATTAATGAGCATCTATTTTGTGTAAGAGTTTGTGTTTATTTTTTGAGTGCTGCTGTAACAAATTCCTACAAACATGGTAGCTTAAGAAAAATAGAAATATATTCTCTCTGGTTAAGGAGGTCAGAAGTCTGAAATCAAGATGTCAGCAGGGCCATACTAAGTCTAGAGTCTCCTTCTGGAGGAGAGCTGAATGGAGAGAAGTATTTCTTACCTCTTTCATTCTCTGATGGCTCTAGATGTCCTTGGGCTTGTGTCCATATCACTCCTGTCTCTGCCTCTGTGGTCAGTGGCCTCTTCTTCTGACTTAAAACTCTCTGCTTGTCTGGCCTCTCTGGTGGCACAAGAGGGTAAGTTGGCACTATGAAGTTACTTGTAGCCACTGCAGCTGAGTTCGCTCGCCAGCCAGGGAGGTGACCCACATGGCACTGCAGACCTCTCCTGTCCCACCTACTGCTCCTTTCAGCAGTGTCTTTCAGCCCGTTCTGTTCCCCACTTTATCTCTGGTGGTGAATTGTCTCACTCCCTGCACCTCTGGCCTTGCATTCATAAATAGATAACTCTTTTTTTTTATTACAAAAGTTTATTTTTACATCATTTTGTACATTTTTTTTTCCATCTCAATTGTAATCCCCGCGGGTTTCCCATCACCAAGTCACCCATGTGCCATCACCATAATCCCGTGCATTTCCCTCCCCCCACTCCGTTTTTGATCCCATTCTCCACTCCACCCCCACAAAATGTCTCTGGTATATGGTTGTTCATTATTTTTGTTATTTTCCACCTGGTCCATTATACTCCTGCTATGAG